TTTTTTGGTAATCAAATAGAGAAAGTATATCACTTTCCTCATCTCAAATCAAATATAAACCTTATAAACAGAGGAATTAAAAGCGAAAAAACTAAAGCAAAGGACTTCCTTCCCTTCCCAAAAAAGAAAAAAAAAAGAACAAAAAAAAAAGGAAAAAAAGGACTTCTCTTCCTTCCCTTTCACCCCTCTAACTTTTTAGTAACAAAATAAATTATCTCTCTCTTTCTCTCAAACCAAATATCAACCCTATACATGCTTCTATTATTTTAATGTTATGATTTTTCCACTTAGCTAATAATCTGCTTAGTCGACTCACATGAGAGAAGAGAGAAAGAAATGAGCCAAGGATGACCTGTCACCTAGTGGTCGGAGGCAACAAAAGCTGGCCAGCAACCAGTCATCCTTGGCTCATTTCACCACTCTCTTTCTCTCAACCTTACTGACTTACATCTTAAGTAGCTAGATATCTTCTTTTATAGGAAGAGAGAATGGAAACTACAGGTGTCGAGTATCCGAAATAGGACTCCAAATCTGTCCAGTTATAAGCAAGATATATCTCTTTTCGAGAAGGAGAAGTTGACTATCATACCTGGAATTTGGAACCTTCCCAGTGGTCTGAGATTAGGATTCCATCCATTAGAGTGAAAAACGGAATTTTGATTTGTGGTTATGGGAATGGAATCTTCTTTTGCAGTTTGCAGGATCCAAATATATAGTAAATGCTCAAAAGGGGATTTGTTCTTCCAGAACAAACAGGTGGAGAATTTTGGTGGCTTCCATTCCATCGTTTTCAGATTCTTGATTCCCCCACCCCCCAAAAAAAAGGGAATTCATTTCAAAAAATCACGAACATGTTGCTAGCTACTACGAAGTCAGAAGGCGTTTGATAGAGTCCCCATCCACATTGCGCGAAAAGGCAAAAATGGCATTTTAACTCATAATTTTTGAGTTTATTGAAAAGTAGGGAATGAGCTGGCCGGTTATTAGAGGACTGTCAAAAACCACAAGTAGTCTCAAGTTTTTACCACGGATAAGTTTAAAAACAAAAACGTAATAACTTGCTTATAATTCAAGAAATTAAAAATGCGTTATTGACAAAAATGATTTAAATAATTTAGTAATAATTTTTTTAATAAAAATAAAAGATTTTGAATTTAAATCACATATTATGTAAGTAAAATAAATAAAAAAAAATTATTTCTTATTGTACAAACTCAAATAAAAAAAAAATTGCTTTATTGGCACGCACTATACAAATAACAGGTATGGGAAGAGACAATGGAAGAGAAATTAGCATGGTACTCTCTTTTCTTCCTATTGTATTCATGATAAATACGGTTAGGCTCGTTAGGATCGGTAAAAGGGAAAATCTTTCGCTATTAGTATTTTCTTTTGGCTCCGTAGTCAAGTCTGGCATGTCCTTCATTGTTGGTTACCGTGCCTTATTATCGCTCGATGCAAGTACGAAGAGCCCATTGCACTTGCACTCATTTAAAAACTAAGATCAAGGAGGATAGACAATCCAATCAAAAGAAATAAAACAAGATAAATTAAGGTAGGATACAACAATTACCTTTTGACTCTGGATGCTCAAATTGTTTGTGTTAAGAACTTCAATTCTAGAATCTTAGTGCCCATCGTGAGGGAGATGATTGAGTATGGAAAGGCTATTGGGTTAGATTTTAATGTTACTTAATCTCTAGAATATGGCTCTGTTTCTTTGGTTGGCTGGGATTATTGTTCTTAGTATCCAATCCCGTTCTTTCTCTGCCCCTGCAAAAAAGAGGTGAGAAATTGCTAATTTCCTTGGAGGGTACGCACAAAATCCAATCAAGCCTCGAAGCCACATAGCAACATAAAGAGCTAGATCTAACCTTCGGTGGTTGTAACTGAATGAATTTTCAAAGTTCTAAAGGACGGGACTGCTCCAGTGGTTGCAAAAAAGCACCTGTGATGAGCAACTATTGACAATTTGTTCAGCGGGATCGCCAAGGACTTAATTAAGAACCAGCAAAGACCACAAGTCTCAAGTTAAAAATTTCTATTACAGAAAATGTTAAAAGACACAGAAGTAGTAGTTTGCTTACAGAAGAAATTAATAATGATTTCTTGGCACACGCTATTAACAGAAGATTCATCGTCCAAACAGCTGAATTCACACTATAGACATAAAAATCTACCATATCTAGCTACCAAATAGACAAGGGATTTGCTTATATGGATCGAGCCAGTAACCAAACATTTCGTTGAGAAGTAAACTACATTGAAAGATGCTAAATTTCATACAAGTTCAGCATTTGGTCCGTAACATGCATTGCGTACATGCTAGTTTACCACATTAATATATAAACAAAAGAAAAATACATAATTAAGATGAAAGCTGCATGCAAGATCAATGGTCGTTTTTCCAACTGTAATATTTCTCAAGAGAGACATTAAGACGAAAAAGAAGAGATTGACATTGAAATATCAAATTATCATTGAATAACATCATCCTTTCTTATCAAAAACATGTCTAATTAATTCAGTACTCGGTGCAATCTTGAACCATCTAAAAGACATTTGCCTATGTTTTCATATTTATCTTATCTACTAGCACTTCCTCAGCTTCCTCATCAAATGCAGTATCACTGCCAAGAGAAACAAGACTTTCTGAGCAAACATTGTAGCAGTAGCCGCTCCCAGTAATATTAATATCTATTATTTGTCTCGTTTCCTTTTCAGGGTTATACCAAGAAAGCTTGTTTCCGTTGCAAAGAAGAATGTTATCTCCCTCCTTTGAATATGTCAAAGGCCTAGACAGATAATAACCAAACTCATTCAAATCACCTTTGTGCACTACAAATGCTTTCCTCCAATTAACTCCTGCTTCTTCTCCATCCTTATCACTCATGCCTAAGTAAAACTCTTGAGTTTTACCCTCATCAGGTACTCTACTAACATAAAGCTTACCATCAAGAACCAGCATGAAGCTGGGACAGAAGCAAGACAACAGCGGAAAGTTAAAAAACACCTCACTTGCAATGCCAAAACCAAGTATCCTGCCATCATTAAAATGATAATAATAATAATAATTGAATTTATATATATTAATTTCAAGTAATAATAACGATGTTAATTTTTTATTTAAAAATATTAATTTTATTAATTTTTAAATAAAAATGCTAATTTTTAACTTTTTTTTCATTTAAGGATTTTAACTTTTAACTTGTTTTATTTAAGAATATTAATTTTCAATATTCTAATTAAAAAGTCGTTTGCCATGTTAATATTACCATTCAATTAATTCTTGAATTTAAAAAAATTAAAAGTTGATATTTTTAAATAAAAAAATTGAAAATTAATATCCTTAAATAAAAAAGATGAAAGTTTGTAATTTTATTTAAAAATTAACAAAATTAACATCTTTTAATAGAAAAAGTATGAAGCTAGCGTCATTATTTGCATCTTTCTCACATCATTTGTTTAACAGCATTTTTTGGTATTTTAACTTTTGATTTTTATGTCATTTTATTATTCTAAAAATATATAAAATATTAATCAAAATAAATATTAAATATATTATATATATTTTTAGGATATTAAAAAACCAAAAAACCAACAATTGCAATTACAAGCCAGCACTCTCAAATTAAGCCACATGTCATTTTTAGTTCTCAAAATTTTAATTTTGAATATTTTTAGTTTTTAAACTATTTTTTACATTTTTTCTTGTCTTAAACTATGAAAAAATGCATCTTTTTGTTCTTTCAATAATTTAGTCTACTAAATATGTTTGTATATATACTTTTTAGTTGATGAACTTATAATATTTACACATTTTTAGTTCTTGAGCTTATATGACCAAACACAAAGGATCAACTAATGAAAGGAAAAAAAAATATTTTTATAGTTTAGGAACAAAATAAAGTATAAAAATAGTTCATGAACTAAAAATATTTATTAGAGATCTATTAATTAATTAATTGACTACCCCATTAGTTATTATTATTATTACATCATATGCTGAACTATACAGTAAGGGCTAATACTTCTTTTTTTTGGTTTTTGTAGTTAAAGTGTCCCCAACCCAATTTGCATGTAGCTCAAGACTAATTTCTCCCCGATTGAGTCAAAGGCAAGTCATCCATATCAAAACTAAGAAATTCATCAAGAATTATATCCTCATTGACCTCCTCAAAGAATCATTCCTTGAACAACAAGACAAAGAGCAAACTACCTTTCCAACTAAACATCAACTCACACTCCTTTTTGCACAAATTCTAAGACAGTAGGGATCTACTAATTAATTGACCAACTCCGGCAAGTGCACCTTTCCGTTTAAGGTTTTGATAATTGGAAGTAAGATATACAGCACGAACCGAGAATTAGATGGATCTACTAATAATTGACTTCTCCAATAACTGAAAAAAAAAAAAGAAAAAAGGGCAATGCAATCAACTCCTTTAGATGGAAAATATATAGGATCAATGAAAAGAATGGAAAACAAGAACAATTGTAAGCAAGTTATTATTTAGGGAGAAAATGTGTATAAATAAGCTTGAAGGAGGTTTGGGTATTAAAAACCTGTCATGTTTCAATATGTCACTACTAGGAAAATGGTGGGGAAGATTGCTTATGGAGAAGGCGGGTTTGTGGAGAAGAGTCTTATTTGAAAAATATGGGAATATAGAAGGGAATTGGCTTTCCTACTTG